TTGGGTTTATGAATCCCCGTGGGTCCAGATAAGACTTGGACTAAGTAAAATGTGTTGTTTAATGCCCTTGATTTGAAAATGAATTCGAAAAATTTGTTCTGATTTTTAGAAAGTCTGGAATTTCTTTAAAATCAAAGTGGGGTGTTACAGTTTGGTATCAGAGCCAGTCTGCGTTTCTGTAGACTGGTTTATATGTGAATATGTGTTTAGACCTTGTAATATGACCACTCTTGTCCGTCACTCCGCGTTGCTTAAGGTATGTTTTATTTAAGTATTAATGAAAATACTTGATATGCAAATGATACACTTGTGGCAATGAAACTACTTGTGGTGTAATTGTTATTTTGGGGGCTTAGGATCTATCCACCTTGATTTAATCGAACTCTAGTGTTTATTGGCGAACTCTAGACTTCTGTAATTATGATTATTTTGTTTTGTTTTGTGTTAAACCGTGTTCGGCCTATTCAATGTAGAGTTATGAATACCCGCAAAAACCGTAACCGTCAGCCATCCCCATCTCCTTCCCCGCCTCGTCATCATCACCAGGCCCCTCCGGCCATGGACCTTACTCAGCTTATAGTCCAGTTTCAGAGGATGAATGCACCAACCTTTGCGGGGACTGAGAACATCACAGCGGTGCTGGAGTGGATCAAAGAACTGGATAAGATTTTCACTGTACTTCCCCTCCCTGACCATCAGCGGGTATCCCTCGCAGCTTACCAGATGAAGGAGAATGCTTCCGACTGGTGGATTGACCACTGGGCTCGGAGGCCAGAGGCAGAGCTTCATGCACTCACTTGGGAGCAAATGAAGATGATGGTGCGTGGCAAGTTCCTTCCCCAGAGCTTTTGGGATAGGATGGAGCATGAGTTCTACCACTTGCAGCAGGGCAGCTCCACAGCGGATGAGTATATCCGCACTTTCACCCGCATGTGCCTTTTTGCGGGCGACGCAGTGAACACCGATGCCAAGAAGGCCCGCAAGTTTCTCAAGGGGCTCAATCAGAGAATCCGTGAACTGGTGGGGA